ATACCGTAGGCCACTTAGGAGAGTTTTTTTTTTTTTTGTTTGACTGTCTTCTTAAAATACAGCTATAAGACTGAAAAGTTCATTTTAAAGCCGTCAAATGACAATAGCGTAAAGAGAAAAGGTCCATCAACAGAAAGGTTAAATCACCCTCATCCATCTGTTCATAATGACTTTTAAAAAATCAAGACTTATGTCACCAGTCACAATATATATATAATAACTGGGGTAGAATCATGTGTAACCAAAGTATCAAACCATATCTCCAAAAGATCACCCCCCAAACTATGCAACGGTCCTCTAGCAGCACAATAAAACATGTCTTATGTAATAATGTTTCCATTGACAAAATTAAATTTCATGGTTTTCTAACCAATAAAATACGAACATTAACTCGGGCTTAATCATGGAGAAATGATCCCCCATAGCTATCATGATAAGATTAATCATCAATAATTCGGAAGATCTATGAAGAACTTACTTTTTGATAAACAAGCATCAAACACAATTTCGTCGATGTAAAATGATCCGTCGTGCTTAATAATATAAGCTTTATCTTCTACGAAGTATTGGTGTGACGACATGCTCAAAGAAAATTAGAGAAGTGTAAGGTAGCTGTTCTTTGGATTCAGCCCATCAGCCATAGTGGACTCATGGTCCACCTATCTGGTTATCTTTCCATTGTCGAGAGGCAGATTTTTGCTGCTTTGCGAAACCAGTCTGACAAGGTACCTTCCACTCTAGGAGTCAGACAACTCCCAGCTTGGAAGGGGAAAGTCAGTATATTGCACACACAAGCCCAACCAGATTAGACATAACCCAAGTCCAATTACCTTATAATGCCTTCACTCGAGTTACAAACTCAAGTTACTGATCTCCGCAAAATCTCATAGATAAAATTTAGAAAATATACACAAAATAGTAAAATACTAAATAAAAAACTTCATAAATATATTCAGCGCATATAAGAAAATTACTAACAAAAACTCAAACACAGTTTACATAGATGCGACCTCAAGCTTAATTACGGTAAGCTCCATCATATCTATGCATAATGTTAATGAAGCTGCTCAAAGAAAAGAAGAAAGAAAATTAAATGAAAGAAAATCATTATTAGAAAAATTAAAAAACATACTTTTAATATCAAGACATCAAACACTATACATAGATGTGAACTGATCCCCCAGGCTTAATCACACAATCACAGTAAGCGTCATCATCTTCGTATGATGTCTAAGAAAATTGAGATTTAAAATCATTTATATTTTTATGGCTGAATTCATAACACGTCTATTTTCCAATAAACAATACATCAAACACAATGTACATAGATGTGCATGCTCCCACAGGCTTAATCACAATAAGCTTCGTCATCCAAGTATAATGTGTATGAAGACATGCTCAATGAGCAATTGAGCAGTGTGGTTCTGGACAGTCGGTTGCACAGATCAATGCTGGTTTTGTTGCCTGTGTTGGGTGTCGTAAGACTACAGCTTAACCTGGGTTCATGTCTCTCAGAAGTTTGCTAGTTGCTACTGAATTGTCCTCGTATCAGTTTTCTGTAAACAGTTATTACTGAATTGTGATTGTTACAATGTGAACAGAAGTAGATTGACTGTGGCAGTAACATGATTTATTTGCAATCTATCCATGAAAAAGTGAAATACACCTATACAGAAGACACGCTCAATGAAAATGAGTGGGAGATAAAATTAGATTAAAAAACACAGTTTACATGACTGATCTATTTAAAATATAACAAAGTGGGATTGTGGCAACCTAAATCTGCTTTTTATACGGTTTTTCCCCCTAGTATAGAACATATTTTTGTGCATCCAAGTTATTAGATTGCTTATATGATGTACTGATGTAACAGTGTATGCAATAACTACTTTTATACTATGGAGATGCAACAGTCTATTCAAATTGCAAAACCATGATCAAATAAAACCAACGTTATTATGTCAGCCATCAGTTCAATCAACAGACACAAAATTATCTAAAACCATCTAAATATGTGCACCAATCATATATGGCAAGTTACATAAGAATTAACAAAAACAAATTGAAGAAACCAACATTGGATTACCCAATAGGATAACCCCCAGATTCTCTCCATCAACACAAATCTCCAGCATATCTCCTCAACGGCTCAACGATTAAGTTCCAATACATAAATTATTGAGAGAGATCAGAGACTTACAAAGGTCTTTCTTTTGGGGAAGAACTAGAAGGTGGCCAATTGGCCATAGAGGCATAGAGGAAGAAACACTAAAACCGAGGTCAAGTCCGATATGACTCGAGGGGTGGATACAGGGGGTGTAAATCGGCCGGATCGGATCGGAAATGGATATTCGGAAAAAATAAATGGGAAATCGGAATAAAAAAATCTCTTCCAATTCCATTCCTTTTTTACCGGATCTGTAAATTTTTTCCCGTTTACATATTATCGGCATATTA